CAGTACACCGATAAAATCGATTAAAATAAAAGAAGTATTTGAAATAATTAATAAAACTAATTACAAAAAAAACCCGAATACAATACTATTACAGAAATAATGATAAAAAGTTAGCTTACAATTATTTGCAATGTTTTATGTAAAATACTTATGTAGTAATTGTTTAATTTATTTAGATTTTATTTGTCATTCTATAGTTTTCATACTATTCTGATTATGGATTTTCTTTTATCTATTTTTGAATTTTTGTTTTTCTGTTAATTTTGTTCTCGACTATCTTGAGTTCGTTCGGTAATTTGCTAAATTATGTAATTGCATTTATGTATCTATTTTTTATATAAAAAACCTTATTATTTTCGGGACTTGCACGTTGTTGAATCTTGTTTTTTCGCTTTTGTTAGAAATACATGTTATATTGTACTCTGGAGAGATTTGAGAAGCGCGCTCGCTACGACATAAGGCTGGAGTACGCGACACCAAACACGTACGAGGTGTGATCAAAAAGTAAGGTGAATTTTGAAATTTAGCGGGCTACGTCCGTTCGATCTTCGACTCGAACTCGACTCGACTCGACTTGGAAAAATTCTATGTGGAATTTATAAAAATATCCATCTGGAGTTCGTCATAATCCATCTGGATTTCAAAAAAATGAATTTCACATAATATCCACGAGGAAAAACTTCATGGAAATCCATAAAAATCAATATAGAATCCACAAGAATCCACGTGGAAATCCATGTGGAAATCCAGCTGGATTTCCAGCTGGATTTTTTAGATAGGGCACTCATTCATCTTTCGTGCTTCAATATCATTTTAGGATTTGTACCTGATGTGATGCACTGTATTTTTTTGGGTATTTGTAAACAGTTTGCGTATTACTGGTTTGACGAAACAAAAAAATCATATTCTCTCAAGCGTCTAATTCCCTTTATTAATGAAATTTTATTGAAAATTCAAGCGCCAAAGCAATTGTCTCGACTGCCTCGCTCTTTACAGGAAAGGAAAAATTTGAAATCGAAAGAATGGGAGAACTGGTTATTGTATTACAGCTTGCCAATTTTGAGAGAAATTGTGTCGCAAAATCCTGTTTTTCAGAAATACGAAGAACACTGGCAGCTACTGGTTGAAGCTGTTTCAATCTTAATGAGTGCTTCCATTCGTAGATCTGATTTACGAGAGGCTGAAATATTGTTACGAAAGTTTGTTGCGAGAACCGAAATATTGTACGGAAAAAAAGCAATGACGTACAATGTTCACCAATTGTTACATATTCCTGAAAGCGTTTTAAATTGGGGACCACTTTTTGTTCATCACGGTTACCCTTTTGAATCGACTAATGGCAAAATTTTACGTATGATTAAAACAGCTAAAGGAGTTTTGCATCAGGTGTGCCGTAGACTCGAATATAAAAATAGTTCGATTTTGTTAGAACAAATTATTTTAAACCAATTTGAAGACTCACCAGTATTAGATTATGTCCATTCTTTAGAAAAAATATATACACAAAAATCAGTGAAAGTAGGGGATAACGTACGAGGTGTGATCAAAAAGTAAGGTGAATTTTGAAATTTAGCGGGCTACGTCCGTTCGATCTTCGACTTTTTTATTTGGTTATGTCGGTACACTCGTCTAGAACATACGTTCCAAATTTCAGCTTTGTAGTATGTTTGGTTTGTTTGTGAGAGGCATCAAGGTTAGAAGTGTTTTGCGTGCTCCACGATTTGCTGCTGTCTAAAAACATGGATCAAAGAGTTTGCATTAAATTTTGTGTGAAAAATGGAATCAAATGTTCCAAAACACTTGAAATGCTGAAAGTGGCATACGGTGAGTCTACTTTAAGCCAAAAAAATGTTTACAAGTGGTATAAACTCTTCCAAGAAGGCCGAGAAGACACCGACGACGAACCTCGTTCTGGACGCCCCAGCACATCAACAACTGATGAGAATGTTGAAGAAGTGAAGAAAATAGTGTTGGGAAATCGTCGAATTACCATTAGAGAAATTGCTGATGATATTGGCATCTCATTTGGTTCGTGCCAATCAATTTTGACGAGTGTTTTAGACATGAGACGTGTGTCAGCGAAATTTGTTCCGAAATTGCTCAATTTCGACCAAAAGAAACGTCGCATGAGCATCGCCCAAGAGCTACTGAATGACGTCAACGATGATCCAGATTTACTCAACAGGGTTATAACAGGTGACGAAACATGGGTATACGGTTATGACTTCGAGACTAAGACTCAATCGTCCCAGTGGAGGCATTCTGGATCACCAAGACCAAAAAAAGCACGCCAAGTTCGATCAAATGTAAAGGTTTTGCTTACAGTTTTCTTTGACTGCAGGGGCGTGGTGCATCATGAGTTCTTGCCACAGGGTAGAACAGTAAATAAGGAATATTACCTGCAAGTTATGCGCAATTTGCGCGAAGCAATCCGCCAGAAACGTCCGAATTTGTGGAAAAATAAAAATTGGCTTTTGCACCATGATAACGCCCCTGTTCACACATCGTTGCTTGTGCGCGAATTTTTGGCTGAAACCAACACAGTAACGATGCCACAGGCACCGTATTCCCCAGATCTGGCCCCCTGTGACTTCTTCTTGTTCCCAAAACTGAAGAGGCCCATGAAAGGACGGCGTTTTGCCACGATTGAGGAGATAAAGACGGCATCGAAGGATGAACTAAACAAGATCACAAAAAATGATTTTTTGAAATGCTTTGAGGATTGGAAAAAGCGTTGGCACAAGTGCATTATATCCGAGGGGGATTACTTTGAAGGAGATAAAATAAAAATTGATGAATAAATAAATATTTTTTGAGAAAAATAAAAATTCACCTTACTTTTTGATCATGCTCGTATGCGTGTATCCCCTCCAGTGCACATTGCATGATAGGTGTTTGTTGTTTTAGTCACTCCTTCGTCTGATTCGGCGTTATTAGCCCTATGACCAAGAAGCTCACAATTATAGCACTGACAATTAGTTAATATTCAAATTTATCTTTTTCTATTCTTTCAATTACAGCTCTATTTATTTATCCAAATATGGTAGTAGAGCGTGTTTCTGTCTCATCACACTTAACCTAAGCACACTCTTGAGTAATAAGTAAAACCGTCGAAATAAGTGTACCCGTGGACAAAAACAGGAAAGCAAAGAGAGTCTGAACACGAAGGAATGTTCGAGAGCTGACAAGAAGAAAACATGGCGGACAAATGTGAAATTACGATACCAATGTTTGATAGACAAGATTATAATATGTAAAAAAAGAGAATCACGTTATATTTTTAATTTAAGAAATGTGATAAGTTAATGCGAAGAAAGAAAGAAGCTATACACAAAGAAGAAAAATGGATCGAGAAGAATGTAAAGGCCATGAATCACATTTGCAGTGATATATCGAATAAGTAATTAGATTTTGTGGGAGATGAAGAAACGTCATACGGTATAATAAAGAAGTTAGATGGTATGTATTTAAAAGTGTCAATGACTACAAATAGTTTGCAGAAAATTACTACAAAATTAAAGCTAAATAATTCATAATAAGTAAATCAGAAGAATTTTTCAATAAGTTTGACAAAACTGTAAATGAGTTAAAGAGTGCAGGGACAAAATTAAGCGAAAAAAAATTAAATTACATGTTTAATACAATACCAGATTCATATAGTTATATTAGCAATCTAATTGACACGTTAAAGGAAAGAGCCGACTATGTGAGAAACAAAATTAAATTGGCTAAGCTGAAAAATCAAAAGATATCTGAAGAAAGGAGATCAAACGCGTTTAAAAGTCGGTCACTGCGCAAGAGGATATTAAGGTGACGGCTAGGTAGGGATCAGAGGTAGCCATAGCAGAGTTCACGGCAAAGTACGACATGGTCAACAAGCCGGAATGAGCAAGCAGAATAACGAAGGAGCGAGCGTGTAGGTATCAATAGAGAACGTGACGAAAAGAAGCGAGACGAATGGTAATCGTGATTTAGAAATAACTTAGCTCCCATTAAGGCCCAAATGTGCTAAATTTTCAACGAATCTTCATGCAGTTATTTTTCATATTATCTGCACCAAAAAAAATTTCCAACGCATCATATCCGACGTAAAATTTGATGTTCTTTCAGAATATGGCGTCAGAATTTGTCTAAAGTCACTGCTAAAAAAGTTATAATTAAATATTTGCAAAAGAAAGCGATTTTTTCAACTTAAAAAGATTTTTTATTCAAAATTTTTTAAAGAAATTGATAAAGATGCACATCTTTTTACAGCTAGAAACGTGTCCTCGAGTCCTAAATTTTAAGACATATGGGGTACAAAATCGAAAATCCAACATGGTAGTTCTCAAAATGGCGTCCGAAGTGATAATTTTTTTGAAAAATTTCAGGATGCTATAACTTGAAAACTATGAGCTTTTCTGAAAAAATGCTTAGAATGAAAAGTTTTTAGAATTCATCAAGAAATACACTGGAATTTGTTCAGATTTTTTTTCATGAAATTTTGAAAATTTTTTTTTTCCAGTGTATTTTTTGATGAATTCTAAGTATTTTTTGTTCTTTCTAATTTTTTCCAAAAGTTGATAGTTTTCGAGAAAAAAAATCATAAACATGTTATATATATGTATATACATGCATATGTTAATCGGCTTCCGCTGGGTCGCCGTCCATGAGCAGAACAGAGAAGCTTACTCTGTAAGTAAAAGCGAGTTACCCAATAAGATTATGAGTTTGACTAAAGGGTACAGTGTGTAATACAGTAGACCCATTCTTTTAAAGTCACTTGACCGTTAATCGTTAAATAGTGATTTTTACTACATTTTTCTTTGAGAGAATAGAATTGCGAAATCATTATCGTTTTTTCTATGTTCTTTGAAAAATTTTCATTTCATTATTTCCGAAAATAATAAGAGTACGCATAAGTCGATTCCATTTTCATCTTCTTGAACAGTGCTGCTCATAGGAGTTGAAAGAGATTTTCCTTTTTATCGTAATTTTTTGAACATTGCCGTGTACAAAATATGTCGAGTACGGCAAAAAAAAGGAAATCGTCTCGAATAAAATCAAATGTATGTGTTGAGGAAGATGAAAATTCTCGAATAATCATTCTTCCTTCTGCCGATTATTCCGGCGAGTCAGATTCGGATGTTGAATCTGAAGAAGTAGGTGTCGCAGATCATGCTGCTATTACAGATTTTCAGGATGAAAATGTATTACACGAGTACTCAGAATTATCGGGTGATGTTCCTGGTATATCTTATCGTAAAGTTTTGGACACTTATGGTGAGAACCAAGAAAAATTAGAACCAGACCATGAGTATGAATGGGTGGATGGTGAATGTGTTATCAATGATACTCCTGATAATGCTTTATTGCTCCCAACAAATGTTCAAAATAAAATTCGCGATTCTTCTTTGGTAGATCTATTTCAACTATTTTTTTCTTTAGAGTTGAAGGAAGTTATTGTTGATGCTACTCGTGAAAATGGATATGATCTTACGATTGAAGAGCTAGATGTTTTTGTTGGGATATTAATTACATCTATGTTCAATGGCAGAAAATCCCAAAAGGATTATTGGTCCAGACTGCCACTTTTACGTTGTGAACCTATAGCTGCTGCTATGTCAAGAAATAAATATTCTACTATCAAAGAAAAAATTAAAATGTCTAAAGATAGCGATGGTAACTCAAATGACAGAGCTTGGCGTGTCCGAAAGCCATTAGAGATTTTTAGAAAGAATATAAAATGCTTTGGTTACTTTTCAACAGCTCTATCCGTTGATGAGATGATGATTAAGTTCTATGGTCGAACGGTCTTGAAGCAGTACATACAAAATAAACTTGATCGTTTTGGGATAAAAATGTGGGCTTTATGTATGGTCAATGGGTTTCTCTTAGACTGCGATATTTATTGCGGAAAAGGGACGAATATTTATGCTTCAGAGACGAACCCAAAACTTAGTAAATGCGCTTTAGGTAGCCGAGTAGTTCTTCAAATGGTTCAAAACTTGCTTCTGATAGTCACTCCAAGAAAATTGTATCAATATCATCTTACATTTGATAATTTCTTTACTGGTCCAGATTTATTGGTACATTTGAAAAATATAGGATTACGAGCTACAGGAACTGTGAGATCAAACCGAATAAAAACTACGAATGAAATTGATAAAAAATCCAAGAGAGGAACGTTCGTTTCAAAATATGATAAAAACAGTGGTTTGAATTATATAACCGTTATGTACTCGAAGCCCCTTTCGGTTCTTTCAACTTGTGCTAGTGTAAGGCCTTTCGGAACGGTGAGAAGATATTCTAAAGAACAAAAAAAGAAAGAAACCTTAGAATTTCCAAGAGCTTTCACATTCTACAATCAATATATGGGCGGTGTTGATCTTCACGACTCGCATTGTAGTAATTTGAGAAGTCCTATAAGATCTAAAAAATGGACGTGGGTTATTTTTATGAGACTCATTCAATCTTCGATAACGAATGCTACTGTTCTGGAGAATTTGGTAACTCATGACAAAAAAATAGGAACGAAAGACACAGCACAGGCTGTTGCTGAAAGCTACTTAGCAAAATCAAGTTACAATTTGGAAAGACATAGATATGAAACAGCCCCGGGAAAAAAATATTGTACCAATAGTAAAAGTTGTGGTAAAAGGACCACAAAAAAATGTACTGAATGTAATACTTACCAATGCTTATCTTGTTTTACAGCAAAACATAAGAAGTGATTAGTCATTCGAAAACTATGGTGAATAATTCGCGGAAAGGCAAAACTTATGTTAGCATTATCATATGAAAAGAAAAAGCAAATGAGAAAGTAATGACGGGAGAAAACAAAATAATATCGAAAAGACCTGAAAGGACTAAAAAAAACACAAAAGAAATAAAACACAAGAAAAAAAACAAAAAAACAAAAAAATGAAAAAAAAAACAAAACAAAAGATCCTTGTGATTCCACCTCCACGCGGTTAGGATTGGGCAACGTTGAAATTTATCAACGGCTAACGGAATTTACAAGACGCCTCATTTTTCCTAATCAATGATATATGCTTTCAGATTTCTGTATTTTGGATTTACGGAATACAGCATGCAAAATATTTGAAATTTTTTTCTCAAAAACTATCAACTTTTGGAAAAAATTAGAAAGAACAAAAAATACTTAGAATTCATCAAAAAATACACTGGAATTTTTCCAGAATTTTTTATAAATTTTTAAAAATTTTCAAAAAACCAAAAAAAAAAATTTTCAAAATTTCATGAAAAAAAATCTGAACAAATTCCAGTGTATTTCTTGATGAATTCTAAAAACTTTTCATTCTAAGCATTTTTTCAGAAAAGCTCATAGTTTTCAAGTTATAGCATCCTGAAATTTTTCAAAAAAATTATCACTTCAGACGCCATTTTGAGAACCGCCATGTTGGATTTTCGATTTTGTACCCCATATGTCTTAAAATCTAGGACTCGAGGACACGTTTCTAGCTGTAAAAAGATGTGCATCTTTATCAATTTCTTTAAAAAATTTTGAATAAAAAATCTTTTTAAGTTGAAAAAATCGCTTTCTTTTGCAAATATTTAATTATAACTTTTTTAGCAGTGACTTTAGACAAATTCTGAAGCCATATTCTGAAAGAACATCAAATTTTACGTCGGATATGATGTGTTGGAAATTTTTTTTGGTGCAGATAATATGAAAAATAACTGCATGAAGATTCGTTTAAAATTTAGGACATTTGGGCCTTAATGGGTTAAGACAACGGGTGCTCTGATTATATCATTAAAAATGATAAATGCTTAAAAGTTGGGTCAATTTACAGCAACAGGTAAAAATATATTTAGAGAATAATAAATATATAAATGCTACAAAAATCGGAATAGTACATACTTATTTTACGATTTTCGAAAAACATAAAAAGGTGGTTATCAAAAATTCCTTTTTTCTAAATAAATGAATATAAAATTAATAAATTTCGGAAAATTAACTGATAATGATAATGTGATAACTTGTAATGCAGTACATTACAAAACTTTGTCTGAGAGTGTTGCACTACTTGCAACACCTCAGAGAAGCTATCCCCGTACCATGCTGCCCCGTAACCAGCCGAATAATTATGTCCTACTCGCGCCCTAATAGAAACCCTACTTTATTTTCAAATTCATCTACCATGTCCGAGAAAATACGCAACAAGTCGAAGAGCGCGATCTGACGACTGACGAAAAGAAAAAAGAAGCGCACGCCGATGAATAGTGGAGCGCACGCACACGCACACTTCCGTTCACATACGGGAGCGAATGCGGCCATTTTGAGGCGCCAAGACAGATTAAACAAGAGCGAGCGAGACAGACTATGACTATTATGGAAATTAGCGAAATGAAATGTATATTGTAAAATACTTAGCGAAAATTGAAAATACATCTACGCGACCGCTACAATTACATAAGCGACAAGTAATCAATTAAATTAAATCGACATAATTGACTGATGAAATTTGAACTTCTGACAAAACTCGCTGTGATGTCACGACCAATAAGCGAATTAGAATAAAATTTGATTTCCGTCCGTACTGAAAAATAAATAGGAGTATGAGTAGATCTTTCTCATTAATTAATGCTAATCGACTTAGTGGAGGGGGGGGGGGGGTCAGAGAGGAGAAATAGCGATTAGGTAGGAGATAAAATTAGGGCGCTGCTACTGTTTTAATTTGTATATTGATCAATGACGGGAATATTCCGAGGGTGCTACCGATATCCGAATTAGCATATCGGTCAATAAAATGATTTTTTCTCGGAAAGAGGCGAAATAAGAGATCATTGACCATGACGAGCCGTTGCTCGTACATTATGCTACTAGTAGTGAACTTAGCTGCACACAGACTTTTCTACGAGCTAGAAAACCGAGTGATTTGGAGCGAGAGAAACTCATTAAATTTGTAACAAGTAAGTAGGTAAAGTGCCGCTTGTTTAGTGATAATTAGGTTGCCGAGCGTAATTCATCGGGTTACCGATTCAGCTGTAATGTGTGGACGCGTAACCGTATGAACGAAATACTCCTGACCAAATTACGCTGACCAACCGCAATTTTTTTCTGACTAACTCGGGCGTAAGAGAAGCTTAGGATTTAGATAGTTAGGTGAAGTACTGCTCACCATCGAGAATTGGGCGATTGTGTGTATAATTCGCCGGGACGTGTGGATCCGTTGCCACAGCGCATTCAATATCGTACAGAGTCGCACTGACATCTGCCATTTCGACCAACCATGCACTCTAACTAGAGAATAAAGGAAAGTGAAGTGTAACCAATATGTTATTTATGCCTCGTTGACTTTTCCCTCCTTGCATGCTGATTTTATTTTCAGCCGTGGACGGTTTGTAGCGAGGATTTCTTTGAATAGTTCCAAACGTTAGGTAACTATACCCTCAACCAGAGACGTCGAGTTGTTTCCTATGCTGCCGGCATTCTCAGGACATTGAGAGGACAGGGAACGACCAATGATTATTGGAGCGGCCTGGGAAAGTTATCGGCGTGAGACCAGTCCCTTGCCCGATCTACGCAGTCGCACAGCTGATAATCAGAACTGCGCGCCGATTTCTGTTCCTATTCCCGACGATCGCTGTAACCAACAAACGGCTGTCTGACGCCCTTATAACTTAGTCGGGAAAATGAGTCTAAGCATTGTGGCGGAGGTGTTTCGTGTGTGCGGCTTAAACCCCCCAAAACTTTAGCCACAAACTTGCTCACTAACGCTCGCTCTACTATTTTAAATGTATCTTTTTCAGCCTGTTTTTTCGCGGTACTATTTTAAATGTATCTTTTTCAAAAGCACGTTTAATTTGTCAGAGGAAGAAATTGACGCTAATAGACAAAAACAATTTCGTGAAAGAAACAAAATTCATAATGAAAAAAAATATATACGAAAGAGAATTGATCGCGAAAATGATGCAAAACGAAAAAAAAACTCATAAACTGGACATAATAAATCGTGAAAAAGATGCTTTACGTAAGAAAAATTCTAGACATGAAAATATAATACATAATTATAAACGGTGAAAGATTGCAGTTTCAACAGTGCCACAATAGATAAAAATGATGATAACGAATATTCTGAAACAGAAGCGTAAGATTACGATAAATTGAAAATTAAAACAGATAAATGTAAAAAAAGTGTAGTGCTCAATTATACTGATATAAAGTTGATGAATTAAAAAAAAATTCAAAAAAGCGAAAATATGAAGTTAAATATAGTTTAAGAGAACTATCTGTAGTATGTAAAAAGTTAAAAATTGATAATGATTTCAATAATAATTATCAAACGAAAACACAATCTACAAAAAAAGTATTTAATGAAAAAACTATGAAAAAAATGATAAGATATAATGAAAAAATTTAAACTTCGATTTGTAAATTAAAGATGATAGCACGTATAGCAAATAAAAAATTTGAAGAAAATCTTGTTATTGAAAATTATTTGGGTTTAATGGATAAAGAATACAAAGAATGCAAAACAAAATATTTCAAATTCTAGTATACTCATGATAAAAAATTTTCCAACTGCTGTTATAAATGTAACATAAAATTACCTGATAATCCAGAATTTAAAAAGGTATTAGAAGAAATAGGTACTGGAAAATCAAAAGATAGTAATGAATTTCGTAAAAATGTAGGTGTATATAACAATCTATTAGTATTTGCGAATTTTGAAGCTAATTTTTCTAGATTATCTGAAGTAGGTCTTCAGGTTATTCGAATGTTTGGTCAGATGTTTCATAACGTACGGGGTCTGTCCGGAAAGTATCGGTCCTACCTTTATATTTTCGTGCTAGCGTTATTCTTTATCATCTGGTGGGTGGCATTGTTCAAAGTAATCCCCAATTGATTGAATAACACGGTTCCATCGATGTTTCCACTTTTCAAAACAGTCCTGGAACTCACTTTTAGGGATAGCCTTAAGTACACTCGTCGCATTGTTTTCAACCGTTGTTTTGTCATCGAATCGATGTCCTTTGAGTGGTTTTTTTAGTTTTGGAAACAGTCAAAAATCACAGGGGGCTATGTCGGGACTGTATGGAGGTTGTCGAAGCAATACGATATTGTGTTTGCTCAAAAACTGCTGCACAAGATTGGATGAATGGGCTGGCGCATTATCGTGATGGAGAAGCCAGTCACCACTTTCCCAAAAGTGCGGCCATTTTCTTGTTACTGCATCACGCAAACGTTTCAAAATTTGAACGTAGTATTCTTTATTGATTGTCTGACCTGTTAATGCATATTCGTGATGTACAACACCTTCACAATCGAAAAAAAACAATCAACATTGACTTAACATTGCTCCGACTTTGACGTGCTTTTTTTGGTCTTGGCGATTCAGAATACTTCCACTGTGAAGATTGTTGTTTTGGTTCAGGATCATAACCATAAACCCATGATTCATCACCTGTAATAACTTTTCTAAGCACATTATCATCATTATTGACCATTTCCAGATTGTTCAAAGCGATTCCTAAGCGAATGTTCTTCTGCTTTGCTGTGAGCAATTTTGGGATGAATTTCGCACACACGCCTTTCATTCCTAAATTTTCGGTTAAAATTTCTGAAATAATAGTTTTTGGTATCCCAAGGTCTTTTTATAGTTCTCGTACAGTCATACGACGATCTTGTTCGATTGCAAGTCGCACCCGTTCAATATTATCTGCGGTTTCTGTCGTCGAAGGTCGGCCGGAACGAGAATCACTA